ATTCCTGCTCTGCCAGCACTGCCCCCCCCGCCGCTCCTGCGGGTTTGTGTGCTGCTGCGAGGAGGGATGCTGGGGCACAACAGTTTGGGGCAAGAAATGAAAGGAGGTTTGGCTGCTAGTGCAGGTTTTTCTTCAATAGATTTTTGTTTTTTGTTTTTTTTTTTTTAATTTTGCCTGTAGATGAAACACTAAATCCGCTCCCGGCTGTGATTGCTCCAGCCCCGCTAGCAGAGCTGGCAACTTTGTGCAATCCGACAGTGACAAATGAGCGGGGAGCAGCCGCTCCCAGCCTCGGCACTCTCCGCCCAGCAGCTCCAGATAAGCACCCACCTGGCTCTGCCTCTTGTGCTGCCTCATTCCACCCCAGCTCCTCCAGGCATCCTCCATGTGCCCGGGCCCTCCACCCCACCCCAGGCCCCTCAGCCCCAGCCCTTTCCCAGTCCTGAGATGCAAACCCAGCACCGCCATGGTTGCAATGCCCATGTGCTGCAAAATGAACACCTCCCCAGCCCCGGCGCCTGCTCCCCACAAGACCCACCGGCTGTAGTAGACAGAAAACACGTCCTCCTTGAGGATCTGCTGGGAGAGGATCCGGTCGAAGACGGGGGTGATGCCATCGATGGCCTGGCTGGGGTAGCCCATCCCCAGCACCCCGTCAAACCTGGCAAAGATGAAGGGGAAGGCAGGCAGCGCTGTCGCCTCGGCGAAGACCTGGATGATGGGGATGTCTGATACCTGGCGAAGGGCACAAGTGTCCTTGCAGGGATCTGGGGGGCTAAATCCCCCAAAAAGCCCCCCGTACTCTTGGGTAACTGGGGATGCTCTTGTGGGGGAGCAGAGCCACACGTGGGCATCTGCTCGCTGAGGCAGCAGCTCCAGGTTTGTGAATCCAGGGTGCGCACTCACCATGACGATGTCCTGGCTGAGGAAGCCTTTGACGCTTCCCGTTCCGTAGCGGATAGCGAAGCCCGTGCCGTTGGCTATGTACGTTCGTGACTTGGAGGAGTCGTAGCGGCTGTGGGAAACTGGGGAGAGGGAGAAGGCGCATCAAAGAAAGTGAGGGAGGCGGCGATGGCAGGACCAGCTAAGGGTCTCTGCTTCCCCAGCCTCTGCGGGATGATGAACCCACCCTGCGCCAGTGCCAGGGGACCGGCAGCGGCAGACCCCGCTGTGCAGAGGTAAACCCACCCCAGCCCGCTCTGAGCAGCCCTCGAGATGGAGGGACATGCCCCCGTACTCACCGCAGGCGCTGTAGAGGGGGGAGCACTTGTAGGACGGCACCCACAGGTTGGCCGAGCCCGTGTCGAAGACCACCTTGAAGGTCTGCGCGGGGGTACCGATGCTGATCTCGCCGAAATACTGGGTCTGGAAGAGGCACGGCAGTGGGGAGCATCACTGGGGTCACGGCTCAGAGAGGAGAGGGGGCTCACACAGATCCGAGCCCCCGGCAGCGAGTGGGACTTGCGGGGTGCGGGGCCGTGTTGGGGTGACGAGCCCCCACGCAGGGAGAGACTTACGTCCAGGTAGTTAGTGAGGAGGGTGGGAGCCGTCCCGTTTCTGGGGCCGGCCACGCCGCTGCGTCTGCTCTGTCTCAGCTCCGGGAAGACGTCGGACACCTTCACACCCATCTCCTGCAGCGTCTGGCGGATGGAGAGCATCCTCCGCAGCGCGATCCTGCGGGGGGCGCGGGCAGGGCTGGGGGGCCGGGAGCACCCAGGGACCCGCAGGAGCCCCCCCCCCAGCTCCCTGCCACCCCCAGCACTCCTGCTTTGGGAACTCCAGCCGGGTGGCTCTAGATGGCAGCAGCTCCCCGCAGCACCCGTGGGGCTGCCAGCCGGGCCCCGGTGGGTGCCGCTCCCACGGCCCCGCCAGCCCCGCACCGGCCCGGGGGGGGGGAAGCACCACGGCCCACCCGGGGCAGGGACCCCACGGGGGCTGGTGCTGCAGGAGGCATCTCCCGACACCGGGCAGCCACCCCTGGGCTGAGCCCAGCCCTGCGCTCGGCTCCTTTGCTTTGCAAGTGAAACGCTTCGTCTTGGCCTCCTTGGTTATTTGGGACCCGGGGTGCTGCTGTGCCGTGTGGTGCTCAAGGGGAGAGAGGAAGAGGAGCGAGGAAGATTAGAGCGGGTGTGCTAGCACAGACCAGAAAAGGAGGTGGGAGGGGGTTTCCCAGCACGGCTACAGCAGGAGGAGAGCCCTTCGGCCCTCAGCACCAACCCGAGCACCCAAAACCGAGGGGAGACAGCAAGACCCACAACATCGTGGGCCACCTGCAACATGCACACCTGATACCTCTGCAAAGCCTGGGCTGGCGAGGGGAAGAAGCTGGCACCCCAGGTCACGGCCAAGACCACCAGATACTGCTGCACCCTCCTGCTGTGTCCTGCCGGCATCGCGCTCTCCCAGGGCAGCCGCCTCCTTTGCCAACAGCTTCGTTGTGTCCCCAAGGGGAGGATGCTTTTATAGCCTGGGTTTCTGCATCCGTGTGGGTTTCTCCTCCCCGCCGGCCGGGGGAGGGCCGGGGATCCCGCGGGCAGCACTGAGGGCAGGTAGCTAGATGCTGACCGTGATGGCCCCCACAGAGGGTGGCACAGCCGGGAGAGCCCCGTGCCCGGCGGGCACAGCTGACAAGCGTGGCTGGCAAGGGGAGCTGCGAATAGCTGGGAGCTGCGAACCCACGCTCCCTGCAGTTAACAGCATTGCTACGTGTCAGCGCCCAGCCATCGCTACCACGGTGTGTGCGGGGCACGGGCCAAATGCCTGCTGGTGTCAGTCAGGAGAGCTGGCGGGTGGTGCTGATGCAGGTGGGGGTGGCTCAGGTCTAGATGGCAGTCTGGCCAAGGCGATGTCCCTGAGGTCCGTGCTGCAGAGGAATGGGGTTTTCCCCAAAGGTCTGGGGGTGGGAACAGCAAAGGGTCCTCAGCCACAGCCCCCTCGTCCATGCAGACACCAACCACAAACCCGCCGGACCCCGCTGCCCTTATGGGGGCTGCTCTGAGCACAGCGAGGGAGAAAATCCCCCCCAGCTCCATTAAACCAATGAGGGAGCCAAGCCTTAATGCAGAGCCTGGGGCAGAGAACAGCTAAACTCATTGCAGTTGTTACATATGATATTAGATCAAGGTACAAGAGTCCACAGCCTGGCCAGGCACACCGCGGTTGGGAGGAGCAGTCTGTTCTCCACCTTGTACAAGCAGAGTGCAGAGGAGCCCAGCCGAACGCTGGGTGCCCGAGCTGCTGTGCCCAGCCCTGCCCTGTGTTTCAGAAGGGAGATGCTGCTCAAAACCCTCAGCATGGGCTGCAGGGGACTCCTTCGTACCAGGTGCATCGCTGGCCCCCAGCTCACACGCGGCCGTGTTTCCCCAAGCAGTGCCCAGCCCGGGGTGGTGGGTGCCGGATCAGGCCCCATGGCTCCCAGCCCAGCGCTTGACCCCAGGGAACCTCGGTGGGAAATGACTGTAAAGGCAATAAAAATGTTCTCGGAAGAAACCTGACGACACACTTGCCCCTGCCTCAAAACCCCCAGCTACGCAATCATGCTGGCGCGCTCCTGTTGTGGATGGGATTTGTTTAGGGCACTGCTATCACCCTTGTCTAGGGGTCACCGGTGCTGGGGGGTGAGGAGGACACCCCACAAGCTACAGACAGCTCCCCCGCAAAACCGGGGATTTAACGCCTCTTTCCTCTGTGGGATTTTGGCTGCGGCGTTTGGAGCCAGGGGAAGGCTGACCTCGGCGGGCACCGAGGCTCTGCCCCGCAGGTCGCAGCCCCGCTCCCCCGGCCCTGACGTCTTTTCCCACGCTGAGCCCCAGCGCTGCGTCACTCGCGGGAGCCTCGTGCCCCGGCACAGGTTGCAGCGAGGTGCAGAGGTCAGGAGGCAGCAGCCTGGTCCAGGAGCTGCAGCGATGCGAGAGAGCGCCTGGCAGGGAGCCACCGGACATAAATCCCCTTCCCGGGCATCCCGCGGGCTCTGCCTGCTTTGCCAAGCCCTGTTCCCCAAAGGAGAGGCCGGGGCTGCAGTGTGACTTCAAAGGCAGGGGGCCACGTCAGCCGGGGGAGGGTGGTCCCAGGATGTGGGGCCGTGGGGCTCCAGCATTTCCAGCTCCCCTTTGACCCAAGGCCAAGGAGAGGCACGTCTGCAGGAGCCCTGAGGAGCATTAGATGCTCTGGGCATGGCTTTCCCCTAGGAGGGACAGACGGACTCCCCTCCCATGGGGCAGCCAGAGCGGGATGCAGCTGGGAAGGGCGGAGGGATGCGGGTACCAGGGAAGGGGCAACGCCAGCCCGCTCCGGTCCCGGAGGAAGACAACCCTTCCCTGCCAAGGGGATGGCATCACAGCCCCCTCGGAAGGGAAACCAAGGCATAAACAGGCAAAACCAACTTACCCAAGCCCATCAGAGAACTGAGGCCTGTTGCCTTGCTGTGGCCAGTGCTAGCCCTGAGGCTGACCTGCCTCGCTGGTGGCACCAGGGCTCCAGGACGCCCCTCAGCACAGGGCTCCTTCCCCTGCGCAAGGGAAACCCCCGCAAGGCATTTTCCAGTCACCAGCAGGGATGAGCAGCTGGTGCATGGGAGCAGCGATGGAGAGACCTGACACGAGGCTTTAAATAACCTGCAAAGGGTGTGTTCGTGCACAGGGTTAGAGGAACCAGGGGAGCGGGAAGGAGCATCGCTCCGCCGGCTCGAAGGGCCGGAGCTGTGCTGGGAGCCAGGCTCTGCAGGGCAGCGCGGGAAGGACGGCCACAGGGACATCAGCCGGCTCTGGAACCACGCTGATTTTATCCCCAGCCCTTCAGGAGACCCAGACCTGCAAGGAGGATGCTTAACTCTTCCCACACAGCCTCAAAGCATCAGGCAGCTCTAACCAAAGCATCACTTAACCTGAATTTGCAACGACTGAAGGTAGCAGGCCGTCAGGCAAGGCTGCAACCTCCCCGCTCGATTCGTGCGCTGCTGCGGGAAACCTGCTGCAGTTTGCTGCAAAGGGCTGGGGTTTCGTACAATTATGTATCCTACAAAGAGCAGCTCATCTGGAAATAGCAGGGGAACGCTCTTAAGTTATTTCCACGCCTGCTTTCAAGGAGTCAAACGATTGAGCTAAGAGTGAATTCAAGGAAAATGCTTTCCAGAGAGATACAAATGCTTTCCTGCAAGATAAACACGTTCCTCTCTAGTGTCGAGCTGAACAAGCACGTTTCTTAAAATACAATTTGAAATATTAAGTCCTCCCCTCTCTAAATAGAATCATTAGGAAGTTTTACTGAATAGCCTTATTTCTTGAGGGACCTTTTAAAACAGTAAAAAAGGTAGATGCATTTCTGTCCTTCCCACACATTTCACACACTTTTTAGTTCATGGGTTTGTTGCTAGTAAAAACACACGAGGCTTGCGAGGATCCTTGTTCCGGATGACCGAAAAGCTCAAGCACAAAAGCAACTTTTGGGAAGGACTTAGAGGAGGCTCTGGATGGCACTGACACCGGGGGAATTCGGCCATTGACGTCAGCGGAGCCGGGGTTTCACCCAAAGTGCTTGCTTAAAACCAAAAACTGCTCTGGCAGGGCACATTGAAATCACAATTTACTGAACCAGAGGGAAAACATTCCCCTGCAATAAGCTCCAGAAATGCAGGCTCGGGCTCGCTGCTGCCTGCTCCGTCCCAGGGGCAGCTCACAGCGGTTCCCCGGTCACTCTGGGGCCGGATGGGAGGCATCCCCGCTGCCACCCAGCGATGATGCTCCATGCCGGCTTGATTTTCCCAGCAGGGTGAAGTGATGGGGGCACACACCCTGCTCATCCACGCTTGCTGCTGTGGGGATGGCGGTGTTAAACAGGGGGAATCACACCATCCTGCATGGGATGTGTCTAGGACCACTTCTCTTTCTCCTGGCGAAGCCCTGAAGACGAAGCTTGGCCAGAAAAGGTTGCTCTACAGCCCTGGTTTTCAGCTGGGGTGAACCAAAGACAGGAATTGCAGCTTGGCACTAGGGAGGCCACGGCTCTCGCTTACCTGCGTGATGTCCGAGGCCAGGCTTCCTCTCCCATCCCTCCTCCACAAGCAGCTGCCCAGCTCTTGCTCTGCTCCAAACCCCTCTGCTTAATCATCAAAGCTGGCCCTGATAGCAGCAGGACTAAACCCACCTCTACCTTCCTCCTGCCCACATCCAAGCTCATGCTAGGAGCTCTTTTTTCCCCCCCTCTTGAAAGCCTCCCACTGCAATCTGTGCTCAAAGTAAAGGCACCATCTCAAAAGCAGCAGCAAGGAGCAGCTTCCCCAAGCCAGACCTCCCAGGGACGCACAGCAACCCCACTGAGCCTCAGGGGGGGCTGCCCTGACTTATACCTGCTGGGAGCTCCTCCTCTGTAACCAGGGCTCAGCGGGGCTGCTGGGCTGGGGTTTGGGTGCCCAAATGAGTTTCCCCCCAGCAGCTGAGCTGGCAGAGCAGCTCCCAGCTCTGCTTCCACCTGGTGCAAACCTACTGCAAACCTGGGCACCGGAGCAGTACCTGCTAAGTGCCAACGGGCACTGCTACCAGCTCAATCGGGCTGCGCTTCAATCAGGAGGGAACAGGTTTAAGTCAAACTCATTAATTAATTCTTGCAAGTTAAGAAGGGTATCTGCACAGGGACCGGCTTTGATGTGATTGCCTTGGTTTAATTAAACTCCTGCTTGCACCCAGCTTCCCAAGTGCTCATAGAAACCTGGCTCGCATCCATTTAGCTTGTGTCTCTGATCGCACAGACCCGCTGAGTTATCCAACCAGTTCTCCGGCAGTGCTGGCTGTGTTCCTGGGGAGAGGAGTTTCTGCAGCCCGAACAATATATAACTCCTTTAAAATCATCTGATGTTAAGCTAGGAGAGCTCCACACTGTCCTCAGGTTCCTGCCTGCGAAGGTCTCCCTGCGAGCAGCCGGCCCCTCGCACGGGGGGATGCTCGTCCTCCAGAGCATCCAGCAGCGCCGGTCCTGCCTCGAGCAGGGTTTAAAAACACCTGACACACCTGGGCCTGAATGGTTCAAATCAGTTGCAGAGCGGACACAGAGGGGACCTGGTGGGCAACGCGATGTGATGGGCCCCCAGCAGCCGGCCAAAACAGCCACTTTCTGTCCCTACAGAAACACACTGGAAAGCAGCAGCTTCCCATTGCCCTCCCAGAAGGTGCGCGGGGGCTGCAAGGATGCGTGGCAGATGAAAAGGCACTGGGAATGCCAGTGGATGGGGCCGGATCCCTCTCCGGGCTGTAAGCCGCAGATCTCGGCAGGCTCCCCCGGAGCGGTGCAGACGTCCAGGTCGCAGGTAGGCAGCCAGCCCTCCCCAGCACCCAGTGCTGGAGATGTTCCCCTGGCTCAAACCCTGGCAGAGCTGTCCTGGTGCCCACCACCACCGTAGCTC